CTTCCGATTAATCGCGGTTATTAAGAAAATTTATTAATTTTGTTAAAGCCACAAAAAATTAACGACCCAGAAAAAAGCAATAATGCTTGATAATTGGCCCTGCGATATATTGTGCGCTTTTTTCTACCGACTACTGTACCGCCATCAGCAACAGAAATGTAATTAATACCGGGACATAGATTGAAACTTCATTTTCGTATTTCTGTTAAATAGCAGCAATTATTTCGTTAGCCGCGGAGATTTATAGATTTTCAATCTGCTCGATCGGTTACAATATGGCTGTTATTAATACCCCTGATTTGAAGACAATTAGATTGAGAAGGCTGAGGAAACTGCTTAAAAAATAAATAAGTAACGTACTACATAGTATAGTATCCATTATCTTCAAGTTTGTAGACACAAGTATATCATTTTTGTTCACTTTAAAATACTGGAGAAATTAGGATTAACCTAAAACGTAGGAACACTTTTAAGGCTGCTATCGAATTTTTAGAAAATATTTTCTTATTACCTTGAACACTGAAAGAGTACAAATGAAAATATATGTTACCGTTAATAAAACATATTTTTTCTCTCTCAAAGTATAGCAAATACAAAAAAATACGATTGAATATAAAATAATTCCTTATCACTAATATGCAACAACATTTTTCAATCAATCAAGATTTTAATGTCCAATGTATAGTTTATATTAAATTTAGAGAGAATTTTGTTACCCTAAATAAAATGTACATTTGTTTTAACATAATATAGTAATCACGACAAACTGAATATTTTTTAGTGCAAAATACCACCTTCCAATCAATAATGACATGATAAAATTAATAATACTTTTCAAAATCTAAATTTAATTTTAACATCCAAATTGTATTATTTTGTGTTTGCGTCTTTTGTTAGTTATTAAAGTGTCATATCTCTGGAAAATGAAAAGCTTCCTCTGTGTTTTATTTATAAACAGTATATTTTTCCTTGATGAATTTTGCAACACCAGCATACTACATCAAAGTTCACATTGTCATGTTTGGTAAATAAGAGTCGTTTTCATTTGTTTGCATAAATTACTATATTAATTTTGTAACAAAAAAAATTACCAAATCTAATACATACGAAATATGTTTTGTTGAGGTTTTTGTTAATGTTAATAAACCGTATATTTGTTTTAATAAAATGTAGTAACTACAACGAAACGAATATTGTTGGGGATAAAATATCGTCTTTGATTCAGTAATCGGGTGACATAATAAATATTTCTTACTTGTAAATACCTTTTAATGTCGGTATTGTACATTTTGCACCTTTTACTAATTCTTACTGTGTCATATCTCACGAAACCTGTCAAGAAATTTTGCTGTAATGGAATGAATAGCTTCAATTGTGATTTGTGGAAATAAAGAGACCTTATATGATAAAAATAAAGGTACTACAGATTTGTTTGCGAATATAATAGTAAAGTTAATCCATTTTACAACAAAAACCTACTAAATCAAGTAAGGACAAAATATATTTTTGTTGAGTGTTTTGTGACTGTAAATAAAACGTACATTTGTTACCACACAATATAGTAACCATAACAAACTAAATATTCAACATTTTGTTACCGTTTATAAGACGTATTTTTGCTTCATGCTTCAGATATATAGCAAGTATAATAAAAAAAATATTGATGAATATAAAACATTTCTTTTCAATCACTAATATGAGACAATATTTTTCAATCATAAGATTTTAATATCCAAATAATTGTATAGTTCTATATTTATTAAATTTAGTAGCACTTAAGAAATATGCTTTTGCACAGTAATTTGTTACCGTTCTTAAAACGCAGATCTGTTTCAACATAATATAGTAATCACAACAAATTGTATATTGTTGAGTATATAAAATACCTACTTTAATATCCAAATTGTAACATTTCTTTAAAACTTTTATTAGTTCTGACTGTCTGACGTCTCATAAAGCCAACCACAAACAAACTCATGCGTTCAATAGAATCAATAGATTTCTCCGAGTTTTATTTGTAAAGAAACAAAAAGTATCTATGAAATATACGTTTGCTGAGTATATTATTTTCGTTAATAAACGGTATTTTTGATATAGCAAAACATAGTAACTATAACAAACCGAATATTTTTGTGGTTAAAATACCGTCCTTCAGACAGTAGTTAGGCGATGAAATTAATATTTTTATATTCTAGAATTAGTTTAATGTCCAGACTGTTATGTTTAGTAGGTATTAAATTTAGTATTAGTTAATAAACCGCATATTTGATTTAATAAAATATGGTACCTAAAACAAATTGAATATTGTTATGTTAAAAATACTACCTTTCGACAATTAGATGATGAAATAAATATTTTTCAGTTTCAGTTCTTATGTTATTTTAATCTTCAGTATTATTTCGTATTGTCTTTTGTTAGTTCTCGCCACGTCACGTCTCACGAAGCCCGCCACAAAATCATGCGGTGTAATGGAATCAATAGCCACCTCCGTCTTTTATTTATAAATGTGGAGACATAAGGAGAGCTTTTGCGGCCGAAATGTCCATCTGAAGTCGTCTTGGATAGTTTACTCCTTACGACTCCCGCGGGAGAGCTGACCCTATGCTATTATTTTTCGCCCCTAACGCCAGGCTTTTGCATATATCCTGGTCTACGGCTTTACTTGGCCGGACACAGTAAATTTCACTTATGGCGGGCTCATGTAGGTGCCATCAAAAATGTATCTACGAATGTGTGTCCATTTTAAGCGATAGCCTTGCTGTTTGCTATACAGTATGATAATGAAAAAATAGTTCAAATTGCATTAAAAAATATATCCATTTTTTAAAATTGTTTTTTGAAGAAATTTCTGTAATTTTGATTATGATTAAATTAAGTTCCATAGCACCGCAGCAAACTGAAACTGTTTTATTCATTTAGTGGTTTCAAATAATTTGATTATAAAATCTCAGAAAAAATTTCCTGTGATGAAATTCGTCCTTTTTGGAACATTTAATATTTTGCAGTTATTCTTAATTATTATTATTTTTTTAGATACGTACGTTATTATGTAAAAATAAATCTCTGCCAAATTTGGAACAAGGAAATACACTGCTCAAAATAATTAGAGGAACACTTATTTAAATCTCAATAACTTTTTTATTTGTAATACTATATAAATCTAATAATGCATATATTAAAGACGAACATTTTGTTCGAATAAATTTACGAAAATAAAACAAATTTACATAATCACTCTTGAAACAACAGCGCCAATTCAAAAAAACTACAAGAAATAAAGTGAAGAGTCTGTGATTCTGTCTGTATAATATAAAGGTCCTGGTGAGATTTGGTTCACTAACATCGTGTATGTCTTTCATTAGCAGGAATTACTGCTTGACACCTCCGTGGTAAGCTTCGGATGAGCCTACGAATGTCTTCTTGTGGTATATTCTCCTATTCTTCGATTAGGGCATTTGTTAACTCTTGGAGAGTCTGAGGTGAATAACGTTCATGTGGACGTCGGTATACACGTACTCGACCATCACAACGACTTAAACGAAATCGTGACTCATCTGTGAAGAGTACTGGTCTCCAATATCAAAGTTGCCATGCCACATGCTCACGTGCAAAATGTAAACGAGACATTATGTGATACGGAGTTAAAATAGGTTTTTGCACGGGTCTTCTTGGTTTCAAGTCTGCTTCTCTCAGTCTATTCCTAACTGTCTGATCGGAAATTTCCAACCCATGAGTCGTTCTGAGCCTACTTTGAAGGTCTTTTGCTGTGGATGTACGAGAACGCAAGGAGGATAGGACTAAAAACCTGTCCTGAATTCGATTTGTTTTCCTCTTAGGACCTTGTCCAATGCGTCTTTTATATCCTCCGGTTTCTAAGTAACGATTCCACACGCGATGTATGACAGAAGAGCTTACGTTAAAATCTCTTGCAACCTGTCGAATACTGGTGCCATACTCTATACTAGCAACAATACGAACGACATCAACTTCACTTAGATGTCTCATTTTTTACAATTAATGCTGAACTGTCAACATTGTTTACTATTCCAAGGTACAGCATATTTCTAAATTGAAATTTTGATTGTATGTTTCACTTTATTTCTTGTAGTTTTTTTAATTGGTACTATTGTCTCAAGAATGGTTATGTAAATTTGTTTTATTTTCGTAAATTTATTCGAACAAAATGTTAGTCTTTAAGATATGCATTATTAGATTTATATAGTACTACAAATAAAAAAGTTATTGAGATTTTGTTCCTCTAATTATTTTGAGCAGTGTATTATCTTTAAGGTTAATTTGAACATTTTTGCAATTAGAATCAGATCATGAATAATTTAGTAGTAATTTCCCAACACCTTAAATAACTGGACAAATTTTACATGAACCATGAAATAGGCAAAATAAAAAGAGAATGCTATAGAATGAGATGGAAATGCAGGTAGCAACCTAGTAGACAGAAACCCATACGGGCTCTGATTCCATTTCTTTGCGCATCCTAACCTTAAGACTCAAATGACCTCTAAATCTAAAGTTCAACTCAGAGATATTCCACTTGTTTGACATTCTCAAATTCTCAATGCCTTTAGTTTCTATTATTTTTTTTGCGTTTCCAATACCCCCGCCTCGTAGCGATCTCCATGTGTTCGATGGAAATAATCACCCCTTCGGTAACGATACCATTATTATTAAAATCATATCTGAAAAGGCCAGACACGTGCATAGTAATTGGGTCTTGAATTTTTGAATAATCTGCGGTATCGAATGAATGCATTTCTTGATGATCCCTCAAATATTCATGCCGCGTATATATTCATATTTGGCCGGCACGCGATATTTTATAAAATATACATATATGGATATAAACATGCAAATATCAAGTCCGATGCGGAGTCATTCCTTATTTATGGAGCTTTCCCCAAAGTGGGGAAACGAAGCGTTCGATGTATCGGTCGAGGGGAGAGTACAACACCCTGTATATCTAACTGTTCTTTTGTTTCCAGCGGAACCTCGACCCCTCACCAGGCTAGAGAAAACACCTTCCACCCCTCCATCACAAGACGGTAAGTTCTGTGTATTAGTTTTCCCACGTAAAGCTGAAGCTATTATTTTATTACCTACAGCACTTTGAAAAAGAAAAGAAAATTACCAATTATCAAAGAATTAATGAAGAAAGCTCATTTTCATTAAAGTATACAGAGTGTATGTATACTAATAAAATCTGGAACATTTAAAAAAATAATTTAACAAGATTTACAACTCATTTTTATATTTTGCGTGTCGGTAGCTTCAATGTTATTATCATTATTTAATTCAAATTCAGCAAATTTTTTAGTCAAAGTTTAAAATACGCCCCGCTTATATTATTTTAATACTCTTTGACTAAATTTTTCGTTAAGATCCACTTAGGCGCATCATTATTTTCTTTTGCTACAAAAACCGAGCTTATAAAGCGTGAGAATCCACTCTTTGTCTCTCTCCTAAAACAAAAAAATTGAAAGCTAGCTGGAGTGAGTCGCCCAAAGTGCCTTGGTGGCACCTTCCAACGGCGTATAATTTCGTAATTTTCACTACCGGCCCATTTCGTTAATGCATCTTATTTTATGGAGATTTTTAACTACCTCAAACAGTCAAGGTCGCGAGCGCCCCCCTTCCCCAGTTAACTCCATCAAGTAGGCCTTCCCTTTCAATTGTTCCTCAACCCGAAAGCCGGCGTCTCTGTTGGAAGAGGAAGGATACATTTGTCGCATTAGATGTCCCCATAGGAAGCGTTAGACTTATAAAAAACCCTAAGTAGCGTTTAACCCTTTTTAATAAAGAAAGCGATCACGTGCCGAGGGTTGAGGGACACGTGTCGCCGCTTGTTGAATTATATAACATGGCGGTTCATCCAGGGGACCCGCGAAACAAGTGAATCTAACAATTATTAATTTCTAAACGCACCAGATGCTTAGTACGTCAAGCAATTAATGGACTTATGTCGAAAAAACGAAGCTGCTTACGCACGACTGTCTATTGGAATAATTTCAAGGCGAAATTATTTGTCAAAATATACAGTGTGTCCACGGTTGAAGAAAAAATTGCAGATTTAATTGGCCAATATTTACAGGTTGTACTACAAAGAAATAATTAGGATTTAGTTGATTTTATCCACAATTGACTGCGTTGCTATGCTAAAGCGCTTTTTTGAACTGGATCACCCACCATATAGTCCAGATTTGGTTCCAAGCACCTTATTTTGCAAACCAAATAATAAAAGGTTATTGATGCCTATTTTAAAGGCCATCAAAAACATTTCGTTCTCAGTTTTAATTCATTATTATGCATAATGATCGGTTCTTAATTAAGCAGAAATACTTCGAAAAAATAACTTCTACACAATAGTTAAAAGAGGTTAATAAATGAAAGACAAATAAATGGACCTAAAAAGTGTCCCTAGGGTATACCTGCTATTTAGTTTTATCATTCTTCCAGCAATATACGCATAATACACCTTCTATAATAGAATCATACTTTCAAGAACCAAATACCAAAATTGGGTCAAGGAAAAAAGATTTTATTGCAAGTCTTCGGATTAATTTTCATGTAAAACAAATAAAACTTTGATTTTGATAGTTATACACAATTACAACAAAGTCTTTTTATTCTCCGCAGGAAAGAAAAGTATCTCGCGTAAAATATTCGAAGCGTATTTCAGATGGGAACTAAAAATCTGTATTGAATAAAGCAGATCAGAGCAGCTTTCTTGTAAAGCGTTGCCGAGTATTTTATAGTGATCTCTGTTTTGTTATTCAAACTGAAATCCGACGAAAATCTGAATATTTTGTCGATTTTGATGCGTTTTATTCAGATCCAAGGGATAGCCAGGTGCCGTATGAATGTTTAATGTACCGGGAGTTCCACAAAAGTTAAGATGTTAGTTTAGTTTATCGTTGTGACGAAAAATGTACTAAGTGTGGGTGAGATATAACCTGCAAAGTATGTTATATTTTACGTGTACTACATATATTATATAGGTATCTTGTTTACTAGTAATTTTAGGTATAGTTCAATGCTGAACGGGACTGTAGTCCACAGAATAGTTGTTTCCCACAGTATTATTATTAGAAAAATGTAATGTTAAATATTAAAATATGCGAAAACGATGACGTATAAAAATATAATTATAAATATCTTACAATTATTACTTTGGATGATAATATTCGGTTTGTCAATTATTTTCTACTCTATCATTTTTTTTCGTCGACAAGAACGTACGGTCTTTTTTCGCGGGCCACCCTGTACGTCTCGGCGAACGATTCCTCCGCGCCGTTGAAAAAGATTGTCGGAAGTCCAGTCACGTATCGCAGAGTTAAAAATCAAACCCTATTTTACATATTCTGTGACGCAAAATTCTTCATCCACACTATTTAAATGCTGCTAGGGAAGCCACTGGGGCCCATCTGAATACTCCTGCTTGAAATTCGGTACGGGTTGCTGCGGGCTCCGATTCTATAAAAACTGAGAAATTCCGAATACACCGAAGGACATAATAATATATCTTCTACTTTTTTCCCGAAATAATTGTCTCTTATTGTGCTGGGTTTTTGCCCGTCGAAACTCTCAAATACGCTTTGCATTTTAACGGTTGGTTAGAGTGATTGATATTATTTTTTGTCCGGATAATTCCATTAAGAGTCGCATTATTTAAACTTGTACGGGGTGTTTAAGCGTTCCCTGCCCCCGTACGGCAAGAAATAAGCAGATAAACGCCATTTTATAAGGCAGGGGTATAATGTTTATTAAAACGAAAAGTTTTTTCACGGAAAAATTTACGTACGACAAGAATAAGGATTGATTAAATGTAGTTCAAAATGGTGATACAGACATGAGGGGTGCCTAAAACTGTTTATACTGATAAACGATAAGAATCTAAGCCTTTTTTAATACAGCATAGAAATGTGCTATCTAAAATGGAAACAATAATGCATTTTACATATTTCATGGTATTACTGAAAAATTACAGGGAAATACAAGGATTTGATTAAAAAGAAAGAAATCTTAAGTATCGTATATGAAATCACTTGAACATGTTTCCTTATTTCTAATTAATCATTACTTACTCATATTTTTTTAGGTTAATGAAATTCGATATTGTATCCTTAAAATCGATTTTATTGCCCTCTTATTACTATATATTTACAAAGTTTCAAATTCAAAGATAAGCGGTGACATACATATTAAGATAAACAGATATAATTTATTTTTTTGCGACAAAGAAAAATAATCTATTTTAAACAAATATACAGAGTGACTCCAATACGATAGATCATTCTAGCAACATTACAAAACCAAAATTTTTAATTAACAGTAATTTTTATAGTTTTTAAGAAATCGAGTGCTTCAATTTACTGTAAATAATAATGTTAAAAATGCTGAAGTGTCAGTAAGAAACTGAAGAATTATATTTAAGAACTTTTAGGAGATACTGATGTAAACACCCTGTATATTTTATTATTAACACATGATATATTATTTCTAGAATAATTAGAATCTCATTTCCGATCGTTTATGATAAATGGTTTTTATTTGTTATTTGTTTAGTGATAAATTAGATCATTTATGATCACATTGCTCTCGAATTTGTCTCATCAAATATTTCTAAATTCTCAGAATGCGCATGGTAATCAATTGATAAAAAAAACACGCTTTACTAAGAATTGAACCTTAGACCAAATGTAAAATACAAACCTCAATATTTAAAAACTAATTTTATAAAACTTTGAGCTCTTATTTACTGTTTAAAATTGTACCAATTGTAAAACTTGTATAGTCTTTCCGAAGTCAGTTGAACTTGCAAAAAACGCCTGGCAATAATTTAATAAGTTTCATAGGCGTCCCTAAAAAAGTTTTCTGCTAAATTTGTATATAATGTGTAGAAAATTTCTATTATATGTTCATTTGGCCAACAACATATTTTAATTATTTATGTCCTCAAACAATTTTATTATATTGGTGGTAAATTTTGTTTTGTTCCGTTTCATAAGGTCTCCAAAATGCCATGTTGTGATAATATTAGTAAACAAAATATACCTCTTATTTCTCCCTTTCGCAAATTGTAATATGAATGATTGATAGAAGATACCTTTAATAAATTAAAATTACCTGTATCACACCAAATTCAGTATTGCTGCACTGCACTGCTGGGCAATTTATCAACCACTTGCCAACTGCTGAGATTTATTTCCCAGTAGCCCAATGCAACTGTTTGTTTTACTTTGCCCGCGCTCGCATTCTTCAACTGGTCGTATACATTTCTACCACCTCCACGTTTAGTTCGACCAGACCTGTATATGGGTATGGCTAAATAAATATGGGAACAAGTTTTTCAAATATTTCAATGCCGAGTTGCTGCGTCAGCGACCGAACCTGGTACATACTGTCAATCTGTTGGTTCTTCAATTGATATCGGAAAGACTATACCATTGTTTCAAATCATTTTCTTGGGGTCCCAATTGTCTCACCCCGTACAACTCCATGACCGACAAAATAAATCAAAGCAATAAAAACCGGGGCAATAATGTAATAAAAATAATTTATATCTCCACTGTATTAATTCACCCTTTTTCCGGACATGTTAATTTCGCTTTGGAAAGGGGTGTGTTGGTAATAAATCCGGGCCCCACATATGGACCGATCGATTATGGAATATTTCACGGATTAACAGCGTGTTTCGTCCCGCTAACTACACTTTTACACCCTTTCTGTAAACCCACCCCCTCGTCGAAGCCGTTTGATCGAGCAGCTTTGCGTGCTCAGCTATGATTGATGGACGACGGCCAGAAAAGCTGCACGCTGTCCTTCATCTCTCTGATCTCCGTTAACATTTTTCAATTATTTTTTAATGTGCGAGCGTGAATCATCCGCTTCTCCGATTATGATTGGCTGTTGCAAGCTGAACGGTCTAATGCTAATTCTTGTAACGATGGCGGAAATTGCCAAAACGCTTGTCTGAATAACGAAATATTTAAAATATATACAGCTTGACCAAAATCTTGTCCGCGAGATGCGCAGATACAGGAGA